GAGACACTGAGGGAGGCCTGCCAAGTGAAAGCAGAGGCAGAGACTGGAGCTATTCTGCTCAAGCTAGGAAATGCCTGAAGCTACCAGAATACAGAAGAAAAATGGAAGGATCCTTCCCTAGAGGCTTTGAAAGGAATAGGTTCTTGCTGATAACTTGATTTGAGACTTCTAACCTGCAGAACTATGGGACAATATATTTATGCTGTTTTAAGCCATGAGGTTTTGTTTTTTGCTATGGCAACCCTAGAAAACTAATACAAACCCCACCTCCAATAGCTGAATAAAGAAAATAGATAATTAAATATCATAATTATGATATATAGTAAGAAATCAATTATCATGGCCATTCAATTTATTAAAAACTTTCATTAATATACTTTTAATAAATTAAAAGTTTAGTAATAACCCCAGAATTAAATGATTTCTGATTATTGCAAATATCTGAGATAGTATCTCCTGCAATGCTAAACTCCTTAACAAACTCTTTAATAAAATAAATCAAGTGAGTTCTTTTTTATGTTTTATTTTCCTTTCTTTTTGTAGCAGAACATGAAATAAGTATATCTATTTACTAAATTGATGAACAAATCCATTAATTTTAAACAATTTTTTCTGAGGATAAAATCATTAAAAAATAATTTTCACTTGCTGCACACTTCAAAATATTCATTTTTTTAAATGAATTGATATATCATTAGTAACTATATCTAACCTTCAAGGTAAAGCATAGAACATTTCCATTATCCCCAAAATTTCCCTCAGGCTCTTCACAGATAACACCCACCCCCAGGCATAAGCAACCACTATCTGCTTCCTGCTGATTTATGTCTGCTGTCCTTTTGTTTTTCCCTTTAAATTGTTTGAAGGACAGACAATATTTTATTTTTAAAAATGCTCCTTAAGTCATAATATCTTTGAAGAAATTTAAAAATATAAAAATCAATATAAAAATATTAATAATTTGGAGTTGATCTACTGTGCTATACTCCAAGAGGCTGGACCAACACTTGCCTTTAAAAACTACTGGCAACTAAAAAAGTGAGATTTATTTTTGTAAAGTAACTTTTATAAATTTAGTTGCTGTTATATTTCTTGCATTACAGCTTAAAAAATTATCAAAAGAAAACTCAGATTTGGAGAAAAAAGTTGACCTAAGTAAAGTAGGTCTCTTCCTCTCTTGTATGTAGAATGTGCAATATATTCTCTCAACTCAGCTTTCAAGTTACATCCCAAAACACCTTTTTAGGTCAACAAATAGTTTGCTAAAATTCTTGTCAACCTAAACAGTATCTTCACAAAGAGAACAGATCATCTGGTAAAGAACATCTAAGGGTGTAGATTCCTAAATAAGGGGCCAGGGTTGTGGCTCAGTGGTACAGCATTTGCCTAGCATGCATGAGGCAGTGGGTTTGATCCCTGGCACCACATTAAAAAATAAAAATAAAATAAAGATATTGTATCCACCTACAACTAAAAAAATTTTTTAAAAAAGAAAATCCTAAATAATTACCATAAAACTCTGGAACTAATAAATGACTCTAACAAGGTTACAAGATACAAGGTTAATATATAATAGTCAATTGCTTTCCTAAATATGACCAATGAACAAGTAGAACTTAAAATTTAAAACATAATGTTATTTCAATTGACAAAGCAAAAAATATTTAAATATAAATCTAATAAAATATGTAAGACATAAACAAGAAAAACAATAAAACTCTGATGAAAGAAATCAAAGAATTAAATAAATGAAGAAACATTCCATGTTTATGAATAAGAAGATTTGGTAATGTGTCAGTTCTTCCCAACTTGATATATAGATCTAATATAATTGAAAGCAAGAAGAAACATCAAGTTATTTTGTAGATATCAACAAAGTGATTATTAAGTTCATATAGAAAGGCAAAGATCTATTAATAAAGGAGAGCTGATACTATCCAACATCAAGAATTATTATAAGGCCACAGTAATCAAGACAGTGTGGGATTGGCAAAAGAACAGACAAACAGATCAATGGAACAGACTAGAGAGCCCAGATATAGTCTCACAGACATGTTTTTGACAAAGTGATCTTTGAAAAGGAGCAAAGTCAATACAGTGGAGAAATGGCTGTCTTTCTCACAAAAGACTGGAACAACTGGATATTCACATGCAAAAAAAAAAAAAAAATTCTAGACACAGACCCTATAACCCTCAACAAAATCAACTCAAGATGGATTATAGAACTAAATGTAAAACATGAAACTATAAAACTCTTAGACTACAACACAGGAGAAACTAGACGATCTAGGGTTTGATGATGACTTTTTAGACATACAGCAATGGCATGATCCATGAAAGGAAGAATTATAAACTACATTTCACTAAAATTATAATGTTCTGCTCTGCAAAAGACACTGTTAATAGAATGAGAAGACAAGCCACAGACTGAGAGAAGATATTTACAGACTGAGAAGGACTGTTACATGAAGAACTGTTAAAACACAACAGTGGGGCTGGGGTTGTGGCTCAGCGATAGAGTGCTCACCTAGCACATGTGGGGCCCTGGGTTCGATCCTCAGCACCACATATAAATAAATAAAAGGATTGTGTCCAGCTACAACTAAAAAATTAAAACACACACACACACACACACACAACAGTGAGGAGCACACCTATGATACCTGCAACGCAGAAGGCTGAGGCTGGAGGATCACAAGTTCAAGGCCACTCTCAGCAACCATACAGTACCCTGTCTCAAAATTTAAAAAAATTTAAAAACCTAGGGATGTAGCTCAGTGGTAAAGTAACTCTGGTTTCAATCCCCAGCACTGCAAAATGATAATAATTAAACAAATCTTTTGGACAAGTTTGTTCTATAGCTTCAAAGTTATGAAAGCTAAACTTTACCCTGGACTTGGAAGAATGAGTGCCCTTTTAATCATGATTAGGGCCTACAAAATGCAAGGTTAACTAATTTAGTAAGAAAAGTTATATTTGAAGCTTTCTAAAAATTATTGGGAAAAAAAGAAAAACATTTAAGTGCCTCTCCCATCATACTATTCTTATTTACTTTATATACCCTAAATAGAAGTAAAGCTTGGGAAGATTAATGAGAATCTTCTATTTCACTTGTATCAGAATCAATACATTCACTCATTTGACCAACTTGTCATTCTTACGGCTTTTCTTTCTCTCTCACTTCTTATCTACCTCTGACTGCTTTTGTCCCAGACCTAATCTTTGCTTTTAATGTTTTTCAAATTGGATTTGCAACCATCCAGCAATTTCTATTGTCATAACTAAAAATCCTTACCTTCTACTTCCACTATCCAATCTTTTTCAGTGTTCCATTTTCTATTCTTCCTCCTTAGTAGAAAGTAATGAAAATTGACTCTCAGAAAACTCTGAAACCTAGAATTCATCTCAAAATCTATATTTCGGTCTATTGAGCTCTTACCTAAATGCTGGGAATTTTACATAGGTTATTTCATTTACTCATCACATAATCCAGGAGATAAGTATCATTTCCTTCCCATTGTTCATTTGAGGAAACTAAGGCATAACTTCCCAAGATCATGAAGCAAGTAAATGACAATGCTAGATTTACTAGACTGTGTTCTGAAATACTGTGCCATATTGACTCACATGTTATTTGAAAAGCCATCCAATTAATTTTCTAATCAAAGCCTAAATCTATTCCTTTCTCTATTTTCCGATCATAAAAAATCCAAACCAGGAATTTTTAAGGATTTAAGCCTGATTAAGAACACAATTTAAAATATATCAAATTCTTTTTTAATTTCTCAACTAGTTTTCAAAAACCTATATTTTAGTCTTAGCTTCATCACTCTGTGACCTTAAATGTTATTCAGACTTGTTATGCTTTAGGTTCTCATCTTTAAAATAAAGATAAAATGTGCTTTATATAACACACTTGTTTTGAGACCTAAAGAGAGTCACAAAAGTAATTGAAGAAGTTGAAAATGTTATACAAGTTAAATTGGACCAAAAATTCAGCATCTTTCCAAGCTTCTCAGGCTTCTTTTTCTTATAATAAACTGGAAGCATGGTTCTGTCTTAACATTAAACTGTGTAACTATACTGCACTATTATTCCTATAAAATGAAAACTTTTGACTCTGACCTTCAGAAATTTCCAGCAAACTTACTATAGACTTTCTTTTCTAGACAAATTGTATTTTCTCTGCTCTTTTAAGTCACAAACTGGTTGCCCATCTAGTCCAATAATGTCATCCGTTTCTAAATTCCTCCAGTTAATCCTCATCTGGTCCTAAACCCTTTAACTGTTCCCCACCAGTGACAGTTCATAAGCCACATCAAACTGGTTTCAGCTTGCTTTTCTAGGACAAGTTCCAACCCCCTGCTCCCCCATTATCATCACCACCAAAAAAGCCCCCTCCCCCGTCTATATTTAATCTTTCTTAAATCTCCATACCGCTATTTCTGTGTGTAGTTCCTCCCTCTCCTCCAAAGAGTAATAGTTTCCTGGTATCTTTAACACTATTCTGAGTAAATATAGAACCCTAATTTATGTATCCAAGTTTGGGAAGACAGACAAATCTTTTACTCTTATTTTTGTCTAATAACTCCACTTTGATTCCACGCAAAAAATAGCTCTACTTTAAAGTAATCAGGCTAAATGGCATTCCTCCTCCCCCCCCCCTCTTCTCTGACAGGCTGCACCTGCCCTTAATTAGACTCCATTCTTGGTGGTGACTCCAGCAATTCTTCCCGTCTCCCTGTTCCCTCCCTGCCCAAACCTGGCGTCCTGAGGTGAACTGGGCATGCTCAGTTGCCACAGCTGATTCCGGGATGGTAACGAATCTTTTTGCAGCTTATGAGACCGGCAGGAGAGGTAATGCTCTGAAAACTGTGGCCCAGAATTTGCTTACTCCTCCTATGGTATCCTTTCATTTAAAGATATGTACAAAGCCTAGGAATGAACTCGGAAATGGACAGCTTACCGCCAGTCCCTAGTCTCCAAGGTGGGTTACCAACCTGAGTAGCAGAGAGCTGAGAAACAGCCTCTCCGTCTGGTTTGGTGCAGGGAGGGGATTTCTGCTGTTCTGTGAGAACGCTGATAGATGGCTGGAAGCTAGCATTTGGCATCTCTGCTGCGTCAAGAAAATACTGGGGTTTTTCTCTTTTTTTCCTTCAGCACAACAACATGAGCTGCTCCAGACTAAAAAAGATGTTGCCTGAAGATCTCCAAGGTCTGTGAGCCAGACAGAGAGATTGTGGAGAGGACAGAAGGCAAATCAATCACTTATCCAAAAATTAAATCCAGGGAGGCGGCTTAAGGACCCAGAGATAAACAGATGGGCTATTTCCAAATGACAGTTCAGGAACCTCTCAGATATTCAAATCTGAATCGTGTGCCTGTCCCCACAAAATGCATACCTTCTTTGTACATGAACCGTGGCATATTTCCCTTTGAGAAAGAAACTGACAGATTCTCTCTCTCTCTCTCTCTCTCTCTCTCTCTCTCTCTCACACACACACACACACACACACACACACGCCTTTCCTGTGGTTTCTGAGGAGACTAAATCTCGCTGCCACAGCAGTAGATTCCCTCACCTCACTGCTTCAGGATGAGGCATGGGAAGAAAATTTATCAGGAATTAAATGGGATAAAAGGGGTTTCTTTGCAGGGGCTTGAGCCTCCACTGCACAACCTGAGAAACAGAAAGATAGGCAGTAACAGACAGGGAAAGAGACACACAACTGCCCCTGCTGCTAAAACCTAGCTATTTCTTCAAACAGCAACAAACATGAGACATTTCATCACCATAGTGCATCCATATTGAGAAGGGGGAAACAATCATGTGCTTTGCTCTATGCAGTTCAGTCTCCGGAGATGGGAGGAGACCCCTGTCCATATGTGGAGGAAGCTATCCACCACCCCAAAAGTACACTCACTGCACCTAGCTAGCAGACCACTTGCCTGACAGGTTTTGCAGCAAAGCAGTTAATCTATTTGACAGCAGGTAGTCTCTTACCGTAGGCAACAGCGGCTCCATTTGGGCTCCCTGGTCTTTAATCTCCATGTTTTGTAATGCCTCTGGAATAAGCACCTTGCTCTGCAGTGTCTTCAGTGTCTTACACTCAGCCCGGCACTCGCTCTGCTTAGTATTCGGATCAGGTAGCTCTGAAGCAGGAGGCAATTGCACACTCCAACTCACCAGAGTCACATGGCTCCTACTCAATCGGGCTGCTGGCCAGGTTTTGCACTGAATGCCTTGGATCCCTGGGCCGGTAAGAGAGATCCCTCAAGCCCTGTTATCACTGCCCACACCTGGCTACTGGTGTAAAATACAGCATGCAATATTTCCTAATGGGCATTAAGAATTTTACCAAGATGCTAACTTCTTATACAGACAAGTTCAATCTGGCCTCAACCAGCTGGGTCTGATTTGACACTTTGAGGCAATTTACTTCATTTCCAAAATCCCATATGAGACATAGTTCAAACAAGATGCCATTAACAGGTTTACTAGGTGTTCTGCTCTAAGTACCTGAGGTCTTTCAAAACAGGTAAGGTGTCCTCAAAATTAGTGTGTCTTAGTGAGACTAAAGTATTCCTAAAAAAAATAAAATCAAACATTTAAGTTACTATTGACTCAATAAGAATTGAACAGATATTTTCAATATATGAATTATGAAAAATATATATGTCATATACAATTAAAAATGAAATGTTTTTTATGATTTTCCAATAAAAATTATAGGGACAGAAAATATTTTGATAATAGCAATAATCAAGATATATAAAAACATGTTAAAAAAACATTAAATCTGATAAGAGTAGCCCAAGTATGTACCCTTTGCTTTAAAAGAGTACCTGAGGTCTTTTAATTCAGGTAAGGTATCTTCAAAATTAGTATGTCATTTGATTATCTAGTTAGTATGTCATTAGATTATGTAATAATCCATGGAAGGGAAAGAGTCAAAGAAGATTTTCTGTATGGAAGAGTAGTTAATGATGGTCATTGGGTAGCTACACATTATTTCCTAAAATTGCCTATGGTTAAGAAATGAAACCCATATATCATTGAACCACAGTACAAGTATGGGGTTACAAATGAAAAGGGGTAAAAAGCACTTATGAGTTAAAAGAGAATGACTGAAGTTATAATGATAACTTAAATTTTAACCATCACTGATTGTATAACCTTTAATCAGCAGGAGTGAATATTAAATAATATTTAACAATACACAAAATTTTTCATAGTGTTTGATGTAGGTAGAATTGCAGGTAATTTTTCTTAATTTATTTTAATTAGGTGTATATGACAGCAGAATGCATTTTCCTGTCATATACAACTGCTCCACAACTTTTCATTTCTCTGTACACAATGTAGCATTGCACCATTTGTGAAGTCATACATGTACCTAGGGTAATAATGTCCATCACATTCCACCATCTTTTTTCCATGCACCCTCCCCTCTCTTCCATCCCCTTTGCCCAATCAAAGTTCCTCCATTTTTCTCATGCCCTCTCTTCCCATTATGGATCAGCATCCACTTATCAGAGAGAACATTCAAGTTTGGAATTTGGGGATTGGCTTACTTCACTTAGCGTGATATTCTCCAATTCCATCTGACCCAGCTATCCCACTCCTCGATCTATACCCAAAAGGACTTAAAATCAACATACTATAGTAATGCAGCCGCATCAATGTTTATATAGCAGCTCAGTTCACAATAACTAAACTATGGAAGCAACCTAGATGCCCTTCAATAAATAGATGAATAGATAGAAAAACAATGGACTATTACTCAGCATTAAAAGAGAATAAAATTATGGCATTTGCAGGTAACTTTTATCTGTTTTCATTTTCAGTACAATTCTTACAATAGGCTATGAGAAAATATTTGTTTTTCATGTCATAATGATTACTATATTTGTGAAACTACTTTGTGCACAGCACATCAAGATAATATCAAGGACTTAAATGACAAAATTCCCACTAGAAATTAACTGATTAGGGCCCAACTTGACTTTTTACACAAACTAATGACAATAGCCAGAAATCACAAATAATTTATTAGAACAAAAATGATAACTTCTTTTTAGGAATGCTATTCCAAAAACTACAATCAAGTTCTAAGTCATTAGTTATATTTCTTCTAAATGAATTTAAATTATAAGTTGTAAAAACTCTTTATTCCAAGAGTCAAAATTTAAATAAAATTGTATTTAAATTACTTTTAATCTGTGTTTTTCTATAATACATTATTATAATATATTATTAACTATAATATTATCTATAATATATTATGAATCCATGGAGGTACTTTCCTGGAACAACTATTGCTTAGGTGCCTACTACATGCCAGAGCTACTATTTCTACAGTGTAAGAGGACTTACCCAGATTACTACAGACCATTTACTTCTAAAGATCAAGGAAGTCCATTATTTCTTAAGGTCTCTGATCCAAGATGTCAAATAGTAGCCTGGCAAAAAAGAAAGTGGAGAAAGGGAAAATGATCCTTATTTAACTTATCACCTCTGTCTTATAAAATACCTTAGAATTAATACCTATACTGGACTGGGGTTGTGGCTCAGCAGTAGAGTACTTGCCTTGAATGAGTGAGGCACTGGGTTCAATACTCAGCACCACATAAAAATAAACAAACAAAATAAAGGCATAAAAAAATTTAAAAAGAAGTAATGCCCATACCCTGAGAGAACATGTCCATATACTAAGCAAATCCCAATGGAGATAACTATAAAACAGATTAACATCTAGGAAAAATCACCAGACAGTGGAAATTTTACTAAGAAACTGTAGAATACTACTGCTCAACTTTCCCAATGGTTTTCAAACTTGGAGGTGGAAAGAAAAAGAAGAGAAAGGGAAATCCAAGTTGCATGAGAAGCATTCTTTCATGTACATATTATCTGCCTTGGAGATTCTGGTGCATCCTTGGTGGAGGCTAAGAGAGAATTTGCTGGCAGTATACTTCATGAAAATTACTCCAGGTAAATTTTCTATTATTCCCAGTCTGGAGTTTTTTTCACTACAGTAAAGTTTTCTTGGGGCCTAAATAATTAAAAATTATTTGGATTAGATTAGGCTGGGTTTGGTGGCAGAAGCCTGGAAGAGTGAGGCAGCCTCAGCAACTTAGGGAGGTCCTAAGCAACTCAGGAAGACCCTGTCTCTAAATAAAATAGTAAAAATGGATGGGGATGTGGCTCAGAGTGCCCCTGGGTTCAATCCCTGCTACCAAAAAAAAAAAATTGGATTGGGTATCTCTGAAACAGGAATCAACTACATACTCCAGCTCACCAGAGTCACTATTGAGCTGCTCTCATTTAGAAACCCTGTGAGATCACTTCAGTATAATTTGACATCCATGATTTCAAGCATCACGTTTAATATTACAAAACTGAATTTGTCCAAGGAACTATGTATTCTACGCACCCTACTGGAATGACAATAGTCTGATTTTCACTTGAGTCAATGCTACTATGTGTGAGGTACTATGCTATTAATGTTATTTACTGTCAGAACCAATAATATTAAAGTGGAATTTTCCTCTCTGATGAATTAAATAAGAGTAGGGATTGGCCATAAACCAACCATACAGACACAGAAACTGCAGAAAACACTAAACAGAAGAGCCAACTTCCTCTCTAATTACCCAAGTTATGACCAATGGGAAAGGAACATAGCCACCAGGGTGTGTGTCCTTCCTGGATCCATCCTGCACCCTGGAACTCCAGCTGACCTCTATTTTAACTAATTCCCAAGTGTACATATCAGCATGGATTCAACAACTACTTTATGTTCCTGCCTTCTTTTGCTATTTGAAGCCCTAAGAGTTAAGATATGCACATTAATACAATGTTTATCTTAGAGAAAAGGCCATTTAATATTGATTATATTTGAAGAAAACAAAAATTATTGCCAACACTGATATTGAAAACCAAAGTTTTCAGTCCTGGCTTTTTCAGGAGTATGCTTCTGGCTTAGATCTCAAAAGTTCTTCACTTTGACCTTTTTAATATAAAATAAACATTTGGTTGGCAATGAGTTTTAAAATATATTCTGAACACTAATACTATGTTAATGATGATATTACTAGCTCAAAATTAATATTTCAAAACATTACTATTTTCACATATGAAAATATATCACAGCACTGTTAATAATCATTTACATATGTTTTATATATCACAGCATTGTTAATAATCATTTACATATGTTTCATCCCTTTGTATCTTTAGCCATGAGGACCTCTACAAATATTATGAAAAAATTTAAAGCATATTATGTAGATTTGGCAGATATGTCAATCCAAAAGTACTTCATTGGATTTGACCAACTCAAAAGATACCAAAAATGCTTTCTTGACAGCTTAAAAATAGTTACACTTTACTACTAAGGAAAAGGGTAAGAATATCCATCCCAAATCTGCAATATACAAAGGGACCTCATTGTGTAATGCTATATTTGAAGGTGGCAAATTATACACATTTAACAAATGCTCTTGGCCCTTAACCTGATAATCTTTCTAGCTATCAACTACCAGAAAAGCAACTCCTACTTCTCTGAGATCATGAATCCTAAAGACAAGGACTTAGTTTTCACTCTTTGCACCAATTTACTCCTAAAGGAAACACGTACAGTCTACTCTCTAAATTGAGGACTAGAGGGCAGTACCTTCATCCAATTTAATTCAATTTAAAAAAAAAGTGATTCCCTACCATGTGTGAGCGACTTCACAGAATAAATAAAACATAGGCCCTGTACTCAAAAAGGTAGTGGCTTTGAAGAGAAGAAATAAAATATTGGGCTGGGGATATAGCTCAGTTGGTAGGATTGCTTGCCTCGAGTGCTACAAGGTCCTAGATTCAATCCCCAGCACCTACAATAAAGGAAAGTATTTATTGACAAAGTGCTTAAGTAAAAAAATGTGCAAAACCCAGAGGTAGACCAGAAGACAAAGTGACTAACTTTTAATAGCATTTTTCTCACCCTTACCATAGAGATTTAAAATCCTTAAGGGATTTCTTTTGTGGGGGGAAAAAAACTAATTTCCCCTTCCTTGTTATGTAAACAAGAAGTATATGCATGCCTCAACTTATTACTTCTCCAATTATCAGCCTTTAAGCCTAATTATCACTGTCTTTGCTAAATGGTCCTGAATGTATCATTTCTATTCCTAACTTGAAAATAATCAATGTCACACTTATTACAGAGTTAATCTTGTGGTAAAATAATCCTTAACTTTTCTATACCAACTTATGAAGAATTACACCAAAATAATCATTACCCACAGTGTCCCATGTGTGAATTTTACTATACATCCTCAAATTCTGATAAACAAGAAAAATCTCTGTGTTTACTATGGAATTTGCACTCTGTCAAAGAAAGATGACAAATATCACAGGAAAAAGAGAAGAAAAAAATGAAAACCCATGGCAATTTCTCAGCTTCATCATAAATAACCAAACTATTAGTGAACAAAGAGTATTCAGATACATTTTAAGTATGATGTTCAGATACTCTGTATATTGTCTGACATTGCCTAAGAGTCTTTGTTTTTTTTTTTTTTTTTG